AGATAATCTATTTAAGTCCAAAATAATGCGAGGTCTGTCAAAGAGAGAAAGATTTGGCAAAAGCTCATACAGAAGAAACAGCAAATTAAGACAAAGAGGGATTGCTAATTTTCAGTGATGTGTGCCTTTGCAGTAACAATTCTCTCTGGTACACTATCACAGCACAAGTACCCTGAATCAAACAAATGTCTTACCCCGATGTTGATCTTGATAGTCTGGCCTTCTTTGAAGCCAAGATCTAGTTTTGGACCCGGGTTCTGTGCAGCCGTCTTTTCTTGTTCTTCTATCTCCTTAGATTGCTTGAGCCACCTCAAGGAAGAAATACGTAAAATGTGACTTTCAAGTTAAACGCAAAATCTACAAATCGATCCACTGACTCTGGGACCATTCTTTTAGATTTGACATGGAAGCCTCAAACATGAAGAACATGATAGAATCTCACTTGAAATGGTCTTGCAGTGCCACGTTGAAATCAAAGGAGTCACCTCTGTCTGTAAAACCAATGCCTATAAATGCCTTTCGACCTGCAAAGATTAAGAAGAAAATGACAATGCAGGCTATTCACAATGCAGTGCGCCACCAAGAGGTTGTTACGGAGAGCCTGTCTTGCGGTGCATTATGGGATAAATAGTCAACGCAGTCTCACTCAATTGCGCTGTGTGCGGAAAACTTGAATTTTTTCCGAATATTTGTTTATCTTGGTTGAAAATTTGAAATTGCTTATTATGAATGGGTTTTAAGTATTCAAAATGATTGTTTTGTGCAGTGCAGGGAACACCTCAATCAAATATCCCCAAATTATGTAACGTACGAAGTGCGACGGCTTGTCGGCAGTAAACTTGAAAAGTGGCCTGTCTGTCGCAAACTCTTGGTGGCGCGCTGTATTATGAACTGCCCACATTTGTGTGATATTTTGCAAAGCAAGGAGTTCTGTGCGAGAGTGGACGGGCAGGTCCCAAAATGGAACATTAAAGCCGTTACATAATTGGAGCAGGTACAACGAAGAGAAAAAACAAGCATGTCGGTTCCTATTGCCACAAATCTACAAATACTGAAAACGTTTTGACTCGGATTTTAATCCTGCACCCGCACTGAGTACAAGTCCCCCTCAGAGTGAACAAACCTCCATCCGATATCCTGATGACAAAGTAGCGACTGGAATCTAGCACTGCCTCCACTGCTATGCTGGGGTATGCTTCGACGGGAGCCTCGGCAAACAGTTCACCTGTAAGGTGGACGGCAAATCCAGGCATAGCCCTAAGTTTACCCAAACGACTGCTTTCCTTCACGGTTATGGATATTTATTTCAACACGATTAAGCCTTTTGCGAGTTAACTTTGAATAAAATCTGGTACACTGAGTTATTTGATTGTAGGTGGAAACAATAATTTGAATTCACTGTTGCTACATGTATACCTGGTGATTCAGGGCAAACTTTTGCATAGCGACCACCATCTCTGGAATGGCCTGCTTCCTTTGTGCCCTTCTCATCCATTGGAAAACAGTGTATTGGTGCAAGGCGTCTCTTAGTAACTAAGCAAACGCTGGCCCTGAATCATGAGGTATACATGTAGCAAGAGTGTCTTCAGTCTGGAGAATTCAAATTGTTCCATTCATGTGAATTTAAAGAGCTCATTGTGCCAGATTTTATTCAAATCTAACTCGCAGAAATATTTCCTAGGCTTTGGGTTGAGGAGCTGGCTGTAACAGGATGGATTTTTGACACCTTGACCTATACAGATCACGGACG